TCACTGACCTTAAACATGTCCAGAATACTCACATTAGCCCACAGTTGGGCAAAATCATCTGACACAAAGCCTATTTTATAATGAAGTGTTGATTATCCCATGTAATTTATTGAATACTGCACTGAAAGTGGAGAACGGAATATAAACGGTTGTATCTGGGTACAGAATAGTTGGAGGTTACCATTCTGGGTACAGAATGGTTGTTTACATAACCTCGTGATCAAGAGGCTGACTGGGAGCTTCAGCTCGCTGCCCAGCATCATGGGAGCGGATCATACTGTATATCGCTGGCCTGGGAAAAGATCCAAATGGACAATTCGAAGTATGGTTTCTACTGGATGAGTATTACTTTCACACCATTATAAAGCTGAAGAATCGTAAATTGACCCATCCAAAGTTAGAGACCATCTGTACTCAAAAAGTGTGATCTTATTCTTCAAACAACTCTGAGGCAAGTACTTGGTCTCAGTTAGTCTGGGCTGCTGTCATAAACTACCACAGACAGGTGGCTTACAAACAGATTTACTTCTGACAGCTCCAGAGGCTGGAATTCCAAGATCAAGATGCCAGCCAGCATGGTTGGATTCTGGCGAGGACCCTGTCTTGGGTTGCAGAAATTTTGTTGTGTCTTCACATGGATGAAGGGGTGAGAGCGTTCCCTGGAGTCCCTTTAATAAGGGCGCTAATCCCATTCGTGAGGGCCCCATCCTCATGATCTAATTATCTCCCCCAAAGCCCTGCCTCCTAATACTGTCACATTAAAGGCTAGGACTTCAAGATACAAATTTGGGGGGGGACACACACATTCTGTCCATTGGTTACCCCAACCATCTGCTTACTACAGATGTGAAAACTGAGGCTGGAGTGGTTACCTGCACATCCACGGCCACGCAGAAGGTGAGCAGTGATGTCAGCACTCCCCAAGACAGGTCTGAGTCCAGTCCTCACACTCTTCACACTCAGTCTTCCCAACTTCTGTGGTGTGAGGAAATAAAAAGGGCAAAAGGTGGAGCACCTGGAGGGCTCAGACAGTAGAGCGTGTGACTCTGATCTTGGGGTTTTGAGTTCAAGCCCCACATTGGGTTTGGGCTTACTTGACAATAAAATCTTAATTTCAAAAAGGTCAAAAGGTGAAGGATGAATATTAGCAAGATTCGTGGAAAGAAAGCAGCAAAGGGGGAGCAGGGGAGAGTGGAAGCACCCACAAGCTGACTGAGTTCTCTCACGGAGTGTTGCATCTCTCAGGGATGTGGGCGAAGAGGAACCTCCTGGCAGGACCCCAGCAGGTGGAGTTGGGATATGGGCATGCCAGTGTTTTGGAAGCACACTGTTACCCTACTGTGTGGGTTAAATTCACTAACAGGGCGTCTTGCTCCTAGCCTGCCCCCCCACCACCACCCACACACACCGACACTTTCCTCCAACATGGACGCAACACAGAGGCTGGTGACAGTTTCAGAGAAACATAAATGTTCTTTTTCTTATTTCCAGCCATGCCTGCAATGCTACCCATTCTGCTGCCTCCTTCCTTCCCTCCTCTCCACCGCCCCAAATAAAATAAAATACAATAATAGCAGCACGCTAGAGTACCCAATATGCTCTGCATGCAAGCTTGGTTAAACAAATCGCATTGACCTTTAATAAAGATGTGCCGAATGCTTCCTTCTCTCATTCAGTATGTTAATCTTCAGGCCAAACCGCCATCAGAGCAAGCATCATTAAGTGCACATCTGATCTTGCCACTCCCCTGCTGTAAACCCTTCAGTGCCTCCACATTGCCTACAGGATGAAGCCCAAACTCCCAATAGTGCAGAGAAGGACCTCCCGGGTGTGGCCTGTGCCAGCGGCCAACTTCATCTTGCACAACACCCCTCCCTCCCTCTGCACCTGACCAGCACTCCAGCCCTCTTCCAAGGGGAGTCTCTCTCTCTCCATCCTCAGTTCTTTCCCTACAGTGCCGTTGACACTCACCCCACTGGCAGCTACACTGATTACCTCCTGTCATTCAAAATGCAGTTCGGGTCAGCTCCTCCATTAATACTCTCCTGAGTCCCACCCCTAGGCAGAACTGACAACCTCTCAGTGGACACAGTACAGATATATGTCACTGTCTCTGTGGCTCCTTGCTACATTCACTTAATTACATCCTGCTCACCTACTCTTAGCTTAGTGCTTGACATACATTAGGGGCTTAAGAAACAGTGAGAGCCAAATAATGGATATTCAACAGAAGCTTACTGTGTTGATGTCTGATCTGACTCTCAAGGACCATCACATTGACATGTGCTCTGGACACTATGGCTTTATTAGAGAAGCATCTGACCATACAGGGCAGGGTACAGACCCAGTCCAGCCATACTCCAATCATTGCACCTCTCCTGGGCTTGTCCTGATTCCTTCATGTTTGGATAGGAAGGTAGATACATTTAAATGGAAATTCAAAGAAAGTCCTTTCTTCTAGGGTCGGTCTCCAAATCCAGCTTGACCTCTCTGCCTGTCTTATGGTCATTTTGTGGACAAAGCTCTAGAGATGTTCAATTCCCCCCGTCAGGGTAGTCAGAGCAGTTGGGGAAGGAGGAGGGAAACGGTGGTTTTATTTACATCATTTCAAACCACTGAATCAGTTGATTTGTTCTTAATTCAGTTGACGAGGGAAGGAGCACTGAAGTTCAAGTTCCCTTGGCAGAGATGACTCTTTCTTATCAGAGAAACTTGAGTGAGCAATTTCTGGAGATGCAGAAGGTAGGGGGCCTCTGCCCAGGAAAATGGATTAGCATCCTTGATGCTCTCAGGATCAGAAGGTAGGAACAGGCCTGACCAAGGTGCGCTCACCACCACCTGATAGAAGAGCCCACATGTGTTTATTTTGCCATTTGTTGTCCGTCTCCTCAATAAAATGAGGGTGGACACTGCATCTATCTTGTTGACTGCTCTATCCCCAGACCTTAACCCTATGCCTGGCACAAAGAGGTGCTTAGTGAACATTTGTTGAGTGAATGAATGACTTTGGTCTGGAAGTCAGGAAAGCTGGCTTCCAGTTCGCACTCTGAAGTCACCAGCAAGCTCTGTGACCTTAGGCATGTTACTGTGCCTCTCTGATCTTAAGCTTCTTGTCAATGAGGAGTTATTATCCGCCTGACCAGTTTTACAGGTCACTGTGAGTTTCCAGCTGTATATGAAAGTCCTTTTTTTAGCATTATATGTGCACAGTACTAAACCTGAGAGATGATGTCGACTATTGAAGAGTTGGTCCTTTTCCACTGGGCATTAGAAACGTGGATGAGAGGATCTAGGAGGACTGGAGGAACCAGGCTCATCCCTCCACCTGCCAGGCACTGGGTTCCTGTCGTGCATTCTCTGGGCCTCCTGGACTGGCCACAGTGGTGGACACTTATGATAAACTGGGAATGCAAGACCCCTGGACACTTACATCTGGAATCACCAGGATAGAGAGGGCAGTGGAAGCCATGAATGTAAATGGTCTTCTCACTGTAGAGTGAGGGGGGGAAAAAGCCTTGGACATGTCCCCCAATAAATGTCAACACAGAGAGAAGTAGGTGGAAAATCAGGAGCCAGCAACAGAACCTGAGAAGGAATGACCAAAAAAAAAAAAAATAGGAATACCAAGCATGGCATTTTGGAAGCCAGGAGAAGAGAGTAAGAGTGCATGGAAAGAAGGGGAGGGATCATAGAGGATAGGAGTGAGAGAGGCTCATTGGAATTTGTGGATATTTGAAAACTTCAGTACATTCAGTGTTTACAAAGTACAACCAGTGTGTTGAATTTAAAAATCAGAATGAAACAAACCAAAACGGCAATTGTTTTTAGTTGATCGAGGTGCTTATTATCCTCTTGTTTTCTCTCTTTTTTCCATGTAGTCTGATATATACTTATGTCACATTTATAACTGAAAAAGCATATTTAATACTAAAATACATATGAGTGTGACTACCTCAAATACGTGTAAAAAGAGAAAAGGCTATGTACATGGGCCCGATAGAGAGGAGATCCACAAAAATGAAATCCATTGTTGAACTTAACTGTTGAATCTCATGGTAGGATCTGGCCTGATTTGCTTTTCTTTCTAAAAGTGTTTTCTTAACGTCCTTTTAATTGAGCAATGTAAACAAATAAGAATGGTGACCAGGAGATGTTTCAATAGGTCCTGAAGCCTTTAATTGTATATTTCATTATGACTATAATGCTATGGGTCTAGGTCTCAGGGGCCATCACCACGGACTTGGTTCTTTCCTGTGTCCTTGTAGTGACCACATTTCTGTTTGCCAGTATTCATTGCCCCCATCCTGCTGGAGAAATGTGCTTCTTTGAATCCCCGATGTCAACTTTGACCATGTTACTTCTTGGGCTGCCAAAGTGTGAGCAGAAGTGACATGTGTCCCTTCTAGGATGGAAGTTTTAAGAGACAACATATGCTTCATCATGCTTGCTTTCTATCATTGCTACTCACAAGGGTCTTAAATGGCAGCTGCTCTATGGGCCCGAGTCCCTGAGTGTGAACAGCAGTGACATGGAGGCAGCTCCCAGCCAACCTAGGGTGAACATGTACACAAGCAAGAAATAAACCTTTGTTGTTTAAAATAACTGAGATTCATGGGGCCCCTGGGTGGCTCAGTCAGTTGAGTGTCCAACTTTGGCTCGGGTCATGATCTCACCATTCGTAGGTTTGAGCCCTGCATCAGGCTCTGTGCTGATAGCTCAGAGCCTGGAGCCTGCTTCAGATTCTGTGTCTCCCTCTCTCTCTGCCCCTCCCCTGCTCATGCTCTGTCTCTCTCTGTCTTGAAAATAAATAAAACATTAAAAAATTTAAAAATAACTGAGATTGGGGGGGGGGGGCAGGAGGCTGTTCATTACTATAGCCTGTCCTAGCAGATACGGTCTTCTGGAGTCTGAAAAGAAAAAGAAAAAAAAAAACAATTATCAGCAATATCACACTTTCTCAAGAAACCTAACTCTTAAATCTTTCTTATTTTCTTCTCTAGATGATGCATATTTACTACAGGGACTTAATATAGAAGAACTATATCCAGAGACCTCTAGTTTCATTACTTACGATGGGTCGATGACTATCCCACCCTGCTATGAGACAGCAAGTTGGATAATAATGAACAAACCTGTGTACATAACCAGGATGCAGGTGAGCTTTTCCGGGGTCTTTTAGCTCATGGGGAAGACAGTATAAAGACCGACTGGGTTTGTGGAGCGCCTGTTCTATCAGTTTGCTAGGACTGCTTCAATGAAGCATCATAGACTTGGTGGCTTACACAACAGAAATGTACTGCCTCACAGCTCTGGAAGCTATAAATCCAAGATCAAGGTGTCAGCAGGGTTGATCCATTCCAAGGGATGTAAGGAAGAAACTGTTCCGCACCTGTCCTTCAGGTGGGTTGCTGGCAATCTCTGGTGCTCCTTGGCTTGTAGAAGCATTGCCCGCTCTGCCTTCATCTTTACATGGCGTTCTTCCCCTGTGTCTCTGTCCAAATCCCCTTTTCTATAAGGCCACCAGTCATAATGAATCAGGGCCCACGTTATGACCTTAGCTAATTACATCTGTAATGAGCCCATTTCCAAATAAAGTCACATTCTGAGGTGCTGGGGTTAGGACTTCAATTTATGAATTCTGGGGGTACACAATTGAAATCACCACACCTGTGTTTGAAGAACCAGCCTCTGAAAAGGCTTAGCATGAACTAATTATAGATAGAACCATCCCACCTGTCTGAATGAGAAAAGAGAGCAGGGTTCCCAAAGTGTGACAGCTGTGATGTTCAGACAGCAAGTGAGCAAAATGGGTATGTCGAAATATGTTTGAAAAAGCTGGATTTAAAAAAAAAGTTAAATAGATTTTCTTACTGGGAAACTTCTCAGGGCCTTTAAATTGATAATATATGTGTCTGTCTCCAAGAGAAGGCACGGGATGTTTAGCATTTCACGAACCTATTTGAATGTGGGATTTTTTAGAGCACCTCACCGGACTAGCATTCCTCTGAACTGCATGAGAACCAGTGGCCACGTGGTGCCAGCTTTGCCAATGGCTCAACTGTGTGCTCCTAAAGCTGTCACCCCCACTTATGTGAAGGGAACACTCCTCCTCTTTGTAATGAGGGGGGGTAAATTACATCTGTTCAAGTTTGGACTTCTCTGATGGTGAGCGTCTATAAAAACTCAAAAGGAAGATAGATGAGCAAAGGAAGTGGAATCCAATCTCCTTATCCAGTCTCCTTGACAGAATATGTTCCCACAAGCCAACAGTCTGAACCATTTGAAGGCTCTGATCCTATCTGTAATGATTGGGATTCTTTAGGTGACAAGGCACCCCCTCCAGATGACTTAAACTTAGGGAAAAGGATGTATTCAAGAGATATGGGGGCATCTCATGGAAGTTGAGATCAGAAATTGATGTCAGGAATTCACGAGAAGTCCATCCTCCCGGTTCTTCTCTGCTCCTTGTTGCACATATGCTTTATTCTTCTTTTCTGTTGGAGACTCTTCCTTTGCTTCACAGTCCTGGGGTGGAACATGGTAGAAAATGCTCCAGTCCAGCCACCTGGTCCTGATAATCACAGAAAATGAACAAGATTGATCCAGCGTAATGTAGCTCCGACCCTGGGACCAATCACTACCGTTTGGCTAATACCCATGTGGGGGAATGATTCCCTGAATTAGTAAAAGTTATCAAACCATGAGGTGTCAGAGAAAAAAAAGGACACTGGAGAACAACTAGATAGATTTCCTCCTTTGACAGAGAGTGTATTTGAGGATAAGAGAGAGCAAAAGGACTTGTTCAGAGCCATGTATGACCTAGTCAGATAGAAGCAAGGCTCACTCCATGCACGGAGGCATCAGTGGGCCTGCAGCACAACTGAATCCATGAAACAAGGGTCTCTGCAGGGCTCACACGCCCTCTCCCAGGCAGCCAGTACCACCAGGCATGGCCACGGTCTACGCGGTCCTCCTTTTTCCCTAGTGCATTTAGGAGAATGGGTCGGACTCAGCTGTGTCTCTCTCCACAGATGCATTCCTTACGCCTGCTCAGCCAGAATCAGCCATCTCAGATCTTTCTGAGCATGAGTGACAACTTCAGGCCTGTGCAGCCACTCAATAACCGCTGCATCCGCACCAACATCAACTTCAGTTTACAGGGGAAGGACTGTCCAAACAACCGAGCCCAGAAGCTTCAGTATAGAGGTGGGTGCAGTGGCTCCGAGGGCAGTCGACCCCAGCCAGAGCTCAGCCATCTTGTTTAGGCTGGCTCTTAAAGGCCTGGTGTTAGCTCCCAATATAAGAACCATGATTACAAATGACGATGAGACCACCACCTTCCATTTGTATCATGTTTTCCTGTTGGTAAAACCTATATATCATTAGAGATAGAGATTAGAGAGAGAGAGAGAGAGAGAGGTAGAGAGAGAGATATTAGAGATATTAGAGATAGCAATAGAGTTAGGGATAGGGATAGAGATAGATAGGGAAAGAAAAAGAAAGAGAAAGGAAAGATAGAGATAGAGAGGTGAGGCAGGGGCGCCGGGGGTGGGGGGAATGCTCAAACCTTCAAATCCCTTCTGGTTCAAGCAAGACAGCATTAAAAAAAAAAAA